GCCTGGAAATGGGGGGGCTACAACCCAAAAACGACTCTTTATTGAGGGGGGGAAGGAATTAGGAGGGATGGCTTCGGCCTCGTTGTATTGGCTTTTCCAGAAAGTGGGGTCCTTCCCTTGGATCTGGGGGGGTATGTAATAAGTAATTAAGGGTAATTTGCTGATCAAACGACTTAAGCAAGGGGAATGATCTCGCTGCACCAGACATAGGAACGTCCTGTCTGGCAAGAACAGGCTTAACCACAATGTTATCAAAATGCATTATCTTAAGAAGAATGGTAAAACTGCAACTTGTATCTTTGTTTAAAACCTTTGTACCAATCAACCATGTAAAGAAAGATTGTATGAACTAATTTTTGTAACTCCCATTTTTATTGAAACGGCCTGAGGCAAGAACAGGCCTGAAGAAGCCACGACAAGGAAAGAAGCGGAGGGGCTTTCCTATTCGAAGATATCGAAACCAACCTCTGTGAAGATAAAAAGAGCTATTTAAAATGCCTGAATTCGTGAGCCTTTGGTGGAGCTGCGACTCCCCGGCCACCCAGAGCTACTTTTGCTTTTCTACCTTAATAAATAGTTTGTGACTCTATTTCGGACTCGATTTGCCTTAAATTTAACTATAACACCACGAGCCCCTGCAGACCCCTACATGTAGCATATGTAGGGGATACCTACAGACCCCTGCAGATGCCAGCGGACCCCTACAAAATCCTGTGGACCCCTACAGGCCCCAACAGACAGTTTTAGTTCAATCTGTTTTCACTTTGAATTGGCACTAGACAATGAAGAATTGTGTTCCGGTATTTAGATGAAGTGCTCTGAAGTGCTTAATTTCTGGCTGGCTTTCAGTGATGCATTTTTCTGACAGTCCAGTAGCATCTGACTTGGGCAGTGCTGCCAGCCAGATGTCCCTCCTCACTGTGTAGCGCACAGAAAAACCCTAGTCAAATTATAACCTAGTCAAAATATAAAAATGATCTTATAAAAGTATTAAAAAATATTTATAAAAATATATTAGTGTCAAAATAGATGTCTAGGATAGTTTAAGTAGATATTCTACATAATAAGTGTTAATGTCAATGTGCAAGTCTAAGCCTCAACAGGTTTGCAGCAGGTGGTGGAGCCGCCTGAGGGGAAGGGCCCAGCCCCGAGTCTGGTTGTTCGGTGCATTTTTTGGGGTGAACGAAAACAATGTGTGTGTGTGATGATGTCATTTGGGGCAGCCCGATGTCACTGGGGGAGCAACAGTGCGACTGAGGAGCAGGTGAGTGGGGATTATGTGGGCCTCCCCCTAGAAGAAGCAGGTCACAGCCCTCAAATGTCTAAAAATTTGGGGTGGGGGGGTGGCGAGTGGGTGTTGGGGTTTTGGGCGTTGGTGGTTTAAAAATGTTAAAAGCTGTAAATGCGGGGGTGAGGAATTGTAATAGAGAACAATCTCTCATTTTTCTAGATATTGAAAAATAATATTCCTGTATGTATATAAAAGGAATTCAAAATACCAACCTGTATCTCTAAGGATTCTGTATTACGTAAAGGAGTTTAGACAATGAAAAGATTTTTTAAAATTTATTTATAAAGAGATACTGAAGTGTCAAAACAGATGTCTAAACAGCTTGCTAGTCTAATTAGATGTTCTCTATCATACGTGTTAATATAGAAGTCTAAATAGATCTGTTAAGAGATGTTCTATTTAAGTGCAAAAAGAATGTATTTTCCCTAAATCTGTATATGTGTAAGTAAATGGACACAGAGGTGTAAATGCCTGTGCTATAGATAGCTCTAAACTGCAAAGAAAGCCTATCACTAGAAGGGATTTAAAAACTGGCCCTCCCCTCTAATCTCTCCTGAAGGTGTAAAAGCGCTTTCAGAAGCTGTGTCTTCCCCCGTTTCCCCTCCCGCTCCGGGGAGCTGGATTCTGTGCAGCGGGAAAGGAGGAAAAAAACCCACCCTCATTTTCCTGCAGGGAAGCAGAAATCCCCGATGTTTCTGTGGTGGAGAAGGCGGCACCCCCACCTGCCTTCCTGGTCCCCGGCGGACTTGCTGCTGTCGCCCCCACACACAGAGCGCTGCACCGTCCCTGGGGCTGGTTGCGGGATCAAAACCGCAGGGTTTTGGTGCCGAGGCGATGGCTGCGGCTGCCTGGGCTGCGAGCGGGAAGCCCTGCCACCGGTAAGCGGTTATGGTCCCTGGGTGGAGAGAAGCAGGCTGAGAGCAGTCACCGCTGCTCACCCCGGTGAGGTCTCAGAGGGGGGACATGGAAGGGGGGGCCAGGCACCCGGCAGCCAAAGGCCGGAGCTGCATGTGGGCAGTAACCCGACCCCTCCTCCGAACCACCTTTGGCTGCGTCTCCTGAGAACTTTGACTCTGCCCCCTGCCCGTCTAGGCCACGCCCCGGGCCCGACCTGGCCACGCCTTCCAGGGAATGCATGCACGGTTCCGCAAAGCCCAGGGTTGTGCCGGGCCCGAAGGAGAGGCGGCCACCCCTCCACCCACCCCCCGCGGAGCTCCAGTGGCCTCCCCGCCATCCGGAACGGGTGCGGTAATGCCCAGCCCCGGGAGCGGCCGTTAGCGCGGAGATACCGGTTCATACCGCGCTCCGGGACACCCTGAAGTACTGGTCGGTCCTCCGAAGGGCAATCTCTATGGCCTTTCCCCTCCAGGCACCGGAAGTTCCCCCTCAGTCTTCCGGCGTACGTCTCTGTGGTTCCGCGGTCCTGCAGGGACCGGAAGTTCCGCCTCAGGGACC